TGGGCTCCTGCATGAGGCTGTTGGACAGGAGGTGCAATACCAGCTTGGGCCAGGTGAGGATTGCCAGCACTCTTGTAGCATGAGGCTGTTGGAGAGGAGGTGCCATACCAGCTTGGCTCAGCATGGTGAAAAGCCTTTCAAAGCCACCATTGCCCTGCTGGCCAATCCTGGGATAGGCATGTATATCATGAGTGTTCTATACACAAATGAAAATTAAGATCAGAGCAAAAGAAAGATTCTAAGCAATGCCAAGTCTCAAGGCATTGGTCAAATGCTGCAGCATGTGTTGCTGGTTCACCCTCCTCCCAGCCAACCTCCTCTCTCTTGAATTGAAAGGCCTGCCATTCTCAGCTGCCCATGCAAAAAAACGGTCCATGCTAGACATTGCTCTCTTGGGCCTTGACCTCCAAGAATAATAGCCATATTGACAAACAATCCCAGCACACCCCTTCTGCAGGGAACAAGAAACCAAACACACCAACGCACCTTCTGCAGGGGACAAACAAAACCAACCCACACCCCTTCTGCAGGGGGAACAAACACACCAACACACTCCTTCTGCAGGAGGCAGACAAAACCAAACACAGCCCTTCTGCAGGGATACAAACAAACCCAAGCACACCCCTTCTGCAGGGGAACAACTAAACAGGTTTGAAAAACAGCAAGGCCCTTCTGCAGGGCTGATCTAAAACTGTTCTGCAAACACTTTTCCCTCCCCAGATCTGATGTTCATTCACCAGCTTACCCCTAAATGCTGCAGGATTGCTCACTTGCCACCACTCTGAAGTTTCCAAGCCTTGTGCTTGGTCACAAGGATGATCTCCCCAAGCTTCTCTTCAGAGATCTGTGTGTACTTGTTCAGGTCATGGATCACTTTGCAACTCAGCTCATCCAGGGCTTGCTTGGAGATAGTCTTGTGGCCAAAGCAAAAGATCTGACCCTTCTTTTGCCCATCCTCATACTTTCTCACTCCATATGTGTTGTTGTTCTTGTAGTATTCCTTCTTGAAGGTGGTGATGACTTGCTTGGGCTTGGCGTCAAGCTTCTTCCCACCATTGGCCTTAGGCTTTGTAGCCTTAGGCTTTGTTGGAGTCTTAGGCTTGGCTGGAGTCTCAGGCTTGGCAGCCTTCGGCTTGGTGGCCTTAGCTTCACTGGCAGGCTGTGGTGCATCTCCAGCTGTGCTGCCATCACCCTTGCTGCCATCCTTGAGGCTGCTAGACATGGACTGGTCATCAGAGTTTTCCATGGTCAGCATTTTGAGCAATTCCTGCACCCTCTCCAAGGCAGCAGGGTCACATTTTGCAACCAGTTGTTGGTACTTCTCTGTCTGGTGCTTTGCCCTCCTAAGGTGGTAGAACATAGTGGATAGCCTCTCAAAGCGGCCCCCTGCCCATGTCAAGTTCTTCATGGAAGATGTATTGATCTTTGGCTCCAACCCTCAGGTTGGTGAAGGGCAGCAGTGTATGCAAACATCATTCCACACAGAAATTTGACAAGCAACCAGAAAAATATCTACAGAAGTGCCAAGAATCCAACAACCTTGAGGATGGCAGCTCTAACTTGAGTCAGCAAAAATTGCCCATTGGGCTGGATGCTCAGAAGTGCCTTTAACAGGTCCTCACTTGTCCAAAAAGTTTTGTTGCCACCAGTATTTCCCTGCTATAGGCTAGGAACTTGGGTGCAAACAGCCAAAATGCTGATTAACACACAATCAAGTTGCGTAATGCTTAGCCAAGGAAGATCCATTGGCTGCCTGGGCCTTTGACAACCTCTCATAATCATCCACATCAGCCCATGACTTGTTGGCACTCATGGCCACATCAAGAAGGCTTTGGTCAACACAGCAGACCATGGTACCAATTTAACACTTCACTACTGCCAGCTGGAACTGTGAAAGGCAACAAACTTCCTACTTGGGTGGTGTTTCTTGAGCAAAGCCCGTCTGCAGGGTGCACTTCTGCAGTGGTGTTCACTCATCCATGGTTGCCATAAATGCTACACAGGCTGCTTGCTTATGGAAAAACAAGTTGTCATCCTTCTGCAGGATTCATTCTTTGTGTAAAAACACAAACTTGAATATCAATATTTCTTTTTCGAAAACAACTTTTGAGTATCAATATTTTTTGTCTTAAATATTGATATTTTGAAGAACTCAAACATAGCTATAACAAGAGCTAAAATATCAATATTCACGGCCAATATCAATACCCAAAACCCTGGATCAGAAAAAGTTGATCCCGGATCCTCTGGGACTGAACATGAAGCAAATGTTAAATTTTTCTCCCCTTGCATCGCTTTTGCTACGAAAAAGGATTTCTCCTTCACTTGGCACTTTTCAGCCAAGTACTGCACAAAAGTGTCGTTTCCAAACGTGTGCAAAGACTTTGCTATCAATTTCTTTGCTTCAGGATCTCGCTGGGCCAGGAGTGTAGTGGATCTCTGTTTTTCCAGGCTGGTCGCTTCAACTTGCGCCACCCACCTCTTTCCAGAGCCCATGCCAAGACTTTGAGAAGCGCAGGATGTTGATCGCGAAAAGCTTCGGAGCCGACCATGGTGGCCACAGTCGGCGCTAAGCCGACCATGGCAGCCCAGCGGCCCGGAGCCGCCGGGATAAGTCGGCGCTAAGCCGACCATGGTCGCCCAGCGGCGCGAAGCCACCGGGCAGAGTCGGCGGCAAGAAAGCCATCAGCGCAAGCCACCATGGTGCAGAGTAGAAGCGCCGCGTCAGAGTAGCTGCTTGAGACATTTGCTGCTGTTGCAATGCAAATGCTGCTTCTTGAGCCGATTCACGACCGCGGCCTCAAGCCTACTTAAATTGATTCGATTCTTATTATTGTAGAAATTTTCTTACTCTTAAAGTTTTAAATTTAGTTTAATGATGTTTAATGAAACATTAAAAAATAGTCACTTATTGTCTTAACCTGTTATTGCCGGCGATCATGAGATTCACATGTAACAATGAGTGACAATGACAAGAGTGAGTGACATGCAATGTACCAATTCCAAATGGGCCCCTGAGCCCCGAAGCAACAACAGCAAGCCGAATGACGTCCCAGCACCCACGGTTCACGACGCAGAAGGTTCCAGGATGCGAGTGGCAGCACCCAGGGCGCCAAGAAATCGGAACCCATTTGCACACAGCATAAGCCAGACCACATCGCTTGTCAGCGCGGCCGCCCCAATGTTTTCCGCCCTTTGGTTTTCCCCTGAACACAAACTCCAGATTTCGGGCGCCGGTAACAAACTGCGCACCTCTCCCAGCCCCAGAGCCGCATTCTGCCGTTGAGAATTCCAATCAACCAAATCCACGTCATGGAAAGAGACAGAGAGAGAGAGAGATTGTTTAAACATGAAAGGCCTTCGAGGAGAATAACTGACAAAAAACTTCTAGCCAAAATGACGGGGATGGCTACTTCAATAGCACTCGGAATCCACTGTTTGATTACGTTTGATTTTGGTTTGCGCCCACCATCACAAATCCCAAAAGTTGCGATTTTCCACTTTGGTTGGCCAGGCAATTAAGGAGCCATGGATGCAAGAAACGCGGGCCCCAAACCGGCGTTCATGAGCCCCTCGCGAGGGTCTCAGATGAACACCGATTTGGGGCAGCCTGAACCCAACAGAAAATCCCCCACACAAACATGCCCCTCAACACCTTCGGCGCAGGTGACCCAATTTTAGGCGAGAATTCAGCCATTGGGAAAAGGGGAATGGGTCGCAGGTTTGTTGAATCTCAGACAGCAAATAATGGTGGCAAAAGTCAATCGCTAGGCTTAAAACACTCATGGCGCTTCGTTCAAAAACAGTCTTCACGGCAGTCAATGTCGGCTCTCAACACTAAGAACTGGGCTCGTTCGTCACTTCAACATCGTACCAAGTAACACCATCCACCTGCAAACTGCGCATACGTTGGCGATCGAAACCAGCCGAGGTCAACTGGGCATACACAGACCGTGTGAATCGCGCAGAGCCCCTTCACAGGCACGCGGCACGCTTCTAAAACGAGACTTGCGCAATGGGTTCTTTCTTTTCGCAGTTTTGCTCTATTAACTACTATATAGGCACTTGGCCGCAGGGACCAATAGTGGAATCTATCTCACAAAATAACATCGCAAGGAGATATTCCCAGGAAATGCCCGCTGACACAAGGTTTTCAAGATCAGGTCAGTCCTCGCACACTACAAAAGCTGCAGACTCACAGCCCCGGAAAAAAACAGGCGCCTCCTGATGACCAGAAAGCTCAATCTTCACAACCATCGTCGCTGCTTGGCAATCAAGATTGGATCCTTGACGCCTTTTCAATTTTACAAAAATCACCACGTTCGTCATCGTTCATCCATATATCTATAGAACCTAGGAACTCAAGCCGTTTTCTTCTCAACTAAAGTTCTATGACATGGCTAAGTGAGCTCTATACCTGTGGCGCAACCGAAAAAGACTGTTCTGCGCCAGATACGATCAAAGTTTTCAGAAAGCGCTGCAGCACGGCTGTGCCCTCAAGTCATGACATTTCACAGAGCCGCTCAACGCCAAAACCATGCGCCAGCGTTCCGAACTCTTTTTCTACGCATCGAGCCCAGCACGCCTCCTTATAAATAAACCCAAGCCTGAGCAAGAACTTCGACGCACTGAGGGACGCAAACCAAGCCACGCCAATGTCAAGCATCGAAAGGCTAGGGCGTTGCCCAGCCAAGTCTCCCTGTCAGTTGGCATTGAAGCCTGAAGCTGACTAATAGCTCGTGTGATTGTCACGCAAGGAGGCTCTCAGGCCCCGTCTGGCCATGTTGAGGAGACCAAACTCCAGATCCTTCGCCGATCTCAACGAAACCGATTGTCTTGGGAGGGTCAATGATCTTCTCCAAGCTCTGTCGACAAGAGTGTCCTCGCCCAAACAAAAGGGCACCAACAGAAACAAGACCTGCGTGAAAGAAGTTGCGTCATCAGAGCCCACCCGTCACGCGCAAAAAACTTTCAAAATCAATTCACTCGACAGAGGTCCCTCCCAGTCAGACAGTTCCACAAAGCAACACGCGTCGCCTGCAAACGAGGCTAGGAATCCAAGCTCTAAGTTTAAAGACGTTTAAAGGCTACCTGTTCTGACCAACAAGAATGCTGCGAACCGCCTCAAATGTTCCCTATATTCTAGGGCACCTTCGAAGATGCCAGAACCAGCTGCGGGAAAAGCTACACCGGTCGAAGTGCTCACTATGCGAGCTCCAAACCATCGCCAGCTCCTGGCTCTCCTCAAAAGACCTGCGTGGCCAAGCCACTTCAGCACGACTCTGCAGAACAGGAGGTCTGAAAAAGGAGCCACAATTGCTTCCTCAATCAATGTGCGTTTTGGATTTTCCCACGACATCGATTAACGCGTATTTTGAAAGCCACTCTTGCAATGAATTAGCGCCCGCTGGCTTGATCACTCAGCAAGATAAGAATCCTCACACGCCGAAATGAAGGGTCAGGGCCTACGCTGTCCTCAGGTCAGCTTCTGAACCGAGACCAAACCAGTTCAGGTTCGCACCCCAACCAAAAAACCTAAGACTTTTCAGGACCGGTCGCACAGCTTTAGCGCGGACAAACGAACATTCGTTCCTCAAAGACAATTCAGCTATTATGTAATACTGATGAAACCGTGGTGTGTCTTTTTGATGCGCCAAACGCTGTCTCTTTGGCAGCTTGTCTATTGGTTTGCTGCGTTTCCAATCCTTGATCTAAGCCCTGCTGCGATCAAAATACGTTAGCTGCTGCGCGCGCCACTGAGGACACACACAACGCTTCAAGAGGCACGGTGTTCACAGCTCGTCAAACCAATAGAAACACATCTGGTGTGGACAGCTTCGTCTCAAGGTCAAGCTCACTTTTCTGCCAATAACGAATCCGTCCTAGCTGTACAAATTCCGCAACTGCTTTGGAACAGCGTCTACTCGTCTTGACCAGCCAAACCGCACATTCTCTGGAGACTGTGCTGTTTCACCCTTCCAAAAAGCGGTCAAATGGCTCAGCAGAATCAAGCTTTTTGAAAAAGTTTGAAATATTATAACAAGCATCTTGACCCTGCTGCAAATTCAAAGCTAGTCTTGGGCAGTGAAGTGTCCTTGCGTGTGCAGTCTGCAGTGGAAATGCATCCCTGCAGGTGTTTCACGCGCAGTATTTTCACCTTGGATCCTAGTTGGTGGTCTGCCGCGCTATAAGAATGGATAGATGAGATGAGTGAGTAAAACGGCGTTCTCTAGGCGACTACACTTAGCAGGAACCACACGAAACGGCTGCAGAACTGGTTATCCAGGAACTCTGCGCTGCACTGGTCGCGCCAGTCTTTGTACGTGCGACTATTCAGAAACATTAACATCGCACTGCGTTCACCGGGATGGCCTCGCAATCATAGCCGGCGACATCAGGCAACTGAACGCAACTGGTACATATACTTGCAGTGGCCTCCTCCGCGCGCCTCAAGTCGCCTGCCTATTCCAAACAAACTGACAGTTTGCTCTAAAATGCTCACACCCAACGCAACTAAGCCTAAACCCGCGAAGCTCGCAAGTTTAAATAAAGAGGCTTGCAGAAGAGGCCCCCCAACACAGGTAAGGGGCCCACGGAAAGAGAGAAAAGAGCAAACTTACGCGAAAATGATGCATGTTTTGCACTGTACCTGCGAGTAACGCGAAATTGCCTAGAATCTTATGGAATCCTGACGCCGCCTATACGGCGCATGGTACACACGGTCAGAGCGTGCACTCGGCTCGCTTGCCCAAGCGTCTGCGCTCTATCCTTCCTTGAAGCTCTGCGTTCTCACCACTGTGCTTCAGGGATTCGTTCATGCACCAGTTCGTTCTTCTTGAGTCTCGTTGATCTTCTCCTCTACCGCAACTTCAAGCTGGGTTGCTTGCCATTGCATTTTCACATTGTCTCGACCTTCTTTGTATGGTTGCTGCTCTGCCTGATTCTTTCTTCGTCTTGTTCTTCTTTCCTTTCCCTCCTGACCCTTGTGCCTGCAGCCACGCTCTCTTCAAGAATAAGAAGAACTCGTCTTCCACAGCTCCTCTGAGTACTTTTCTCTGAAATCTTGCTTCCTCGGCTTTTGCGCCAAGCTCGCCAGTCCCTGAGCATCAGTTTTCCCACTGTGCTCCGACTGGTTCCTCTCCTTTGGAACTGGCGGGGCGGGCGGTGTAGGAATCTTTGCTAGTTTTGGGGGGAATGAGGGGTGGGGATGGGCTGACGGGTAACAGCACTCGGTTTCCATTCTGTTGTTGGAAGACTGATGATCTGGGCATCATGTCCACGGCGCACGAGGGAGGGGTTGCTTATGTTTACGGAGCGAAAAGCTTGCCGACTTTCATGTCTACGTAACAAAACATGTGGCAGTTCCTGCGCGTTGTTTAACTAATGGCATTCATTGCTCGGGTCTCTGGCGCGCAACGGCGCGCCCGCAAATGGCAAAGCTTGAAGAAGTTGAAGAAGTACATGAAGTACATCCCCAAAGAACTTGCCCCCGTAACTATGCTAGACTCAACAGCCAGATCAGGGAGCGCGTGTACTCGTTTGCGTGGCAGGCGAATACGTGCGACCACTTGAAAAAGCTTGGACAGCCGGCAGCTAGCGCCTTGCGTTGAAAGAGTTGCATTTTGTTGTAGTGGGAGTCGAAACTCATGTTCATCTTACAATCCCATGCGTTGCAAACAGGACAACAACAAACTTTCAACTTTCTATTGTAAAACGCAGCGCGTCTACTGCCAGACAGCTGGAACGCTGTAAGGGTCACCGAACGTTCATCGCACCTTGGAAGAAGCGCCCGTCTCGAGCAGGGTCGTTGCGGGCGTGACTCGGCGTGACCTTGTTTTTCGTGGCAGCGCCGTTTGCCATTACTTGGCAATTCTCGGCTGTTTTTTGGGGGGACACGTCATAGAGTACTGCATTGCGTCGGCAGCGTGGCCTCCAGAGATGGGAAGCTGGGCACGAAGCTGTGAAGCAGCGATGCGGAGGCATCGTCATCGTCCAACAGTGACGCTTCCAATGTGTTCCTGGAGTTTGGAGCCAATACCTACCTTGCCACTTGCAAGGGAGCACTTATTTCCGAGCATGTCATTCGTTTCGAACCTGTGAGTGTGCTCATGAGCCTTCCAAGTATACCATTCATTTTGTGGACGAAATTGCACCACCTATTTCTTGATTCAATGTTCTTTTTGCATGAGAACGCGTCTGCAGTGTCTCCCCGTGGTGTCCTCTTGCGGGCTCCCACAGGTACAAGCCTGACGCGCCGAGCCCAGGTCGGCCTCTGGAGTGGATGGGATGGTGGCCCCAAAAAGAGGATGCCCCTGATCCCAGAAGTAAATTGCTTTTGTTGTAAGAGTTGGGGTGCTTCATCACTGACTTTCAAAGCCTCCTCGAACCCTCCATAGTGACACGTGTATGATAGATAGCATTTTAGCAAGGCCGCTGCGCCGTGGCAACATGGGCTAATTGAAAGATTCCGCTGAAGAAGCGAAGACACGGAGCTTCAGAGCTTCACAACAATTCCGGGACGCTGCCAACACGGTCGAAAATTCCTACATTTTGGAGTTGTCTTGTTTTTCTGTAATCTTTTGTCGCATAATAACAGCTGCCACAATTTGGTCCGCGACTAAAGTCAAGGCTGAAATTCTTAGATATGTCAACGTATACCTCGACAAGTTTCGAGAAGAAAACAATAACAAACCGCGGGAACAAACTGTTCACACAAATCCAATGATACAGGCAGGATGAGCAAAGAAGATCATCCTTGGCTTGCTTCAGTCATTTTTCCTCCGTCTTTGGGCCCATCGGATTGTCTTCGTCTTGTTGCATCAGGGTCTGGGCTCAAGCCTTAGTATCTAATAGTCACTGTCCCTGCCTCCGATGGCCAGGGGAGCTGTGAAGGCCACAAATCTGACCTTGAACAATTCTTCTCGTATGGAGAGAACATGTTTGTTGTTTTTGTGTTCCAATTCTACAAGCCCACGCAATGCCGCTGCAATGCCCACGCCAACCCCTCGCCTCGGCCACACTGAAGAAGCATCAGCAGGCCAACCTTCACTAATCGACAGGCTTGGCGGGGCTTTGCAGCATGTTCTTTTTCTAGGAGCCAGGTGAAAAAGACTACAGGAACAGTGAGCTGAGTCAAAGAAACCATGTAAGACCAAGCAGTATATGGAGGGAACTCAGCAAAGCTGCCTTGAGACAAAGCTGGTGATCCGTCTGCTGCATCAGCTGCAGCAGCAACCATGTCTGCCACTGATAAAGATACTCTGGGATCTTGCTCAGATGCAGCCTCCTGAAAAAGGTGTGCATTGTTCTCTTTAAGCGAAAGTTTAGTGAAGACTTGAAAGGCAAGAAGGCTTACCGATTGGGGTTGCATCTTCGCCGGCGCAGACACCGGGCTGCAGTTGCTGCTGGAAATACCCCGCGTCACCTTGGGCGCACCAAGTGGGTGCGACTGCCCAACTCAAGAGTCCAAAGAAGTGGAAACCTCACTAGCAATCCCCGCACCTCTGACTTGGGAGGTGACAGCAACGGATTAGTTGCACCTACCAGATGAGAAAGCCACTGAACATGTGGAAAGTCAAAAAACGAATCGGAACCATTCTGAACGGCCCAACGCAGGTGAACATTTGGCGGCCTGTGGCAGTCGTGGCCTCGCAAAGCAAGCGCACATACCCTTTCCCTCAGGAATCTGACACATAGGCGCACAGGTCATGGTGAAAGCAACTTTTGTTTTTTCGCCACGCATTTTTCAGTCAAAGAGAACCCTTTTTGTTGCGGGTATCCTATGTTGCGCGAAGTCGAAACCTCACAGAGCCACATGCTTCTACAAGGCCGACAATGTGGGCTGCAAGAACTTAGATGTAATTGGCCCACCGCTGGTAAAGTTCAATGATAATGTGACTGGTAACTCAACTTCTTTGATACGTTGCTCGGTGACGACATCACTGATGAGTTTTACCAGGCAGCTGGTGATGTCTGCTCCGATTGCTCCTACACAGGAGCGAGTGGACTGCAATTGATCAAACTGAAGGCAAAGGCCGCAGAGCTTGCCTTTCGATTTGCCACATTGCCAAGCGCAGCGCAAACCTCCTCTGGTCTTTGATCGCCAAGTCTCCTTTCTTGCGACAGCATGGTTTGTCTCCATACAGAGACAAACAGCAAAAGTTCAAACAAATTTCGCCGACCTGAGCACATCGATTAAGGAGTTCCGTGGTAAGGCAGTCAAAGCAGCCAAGATTGCCTGCGCAACCCTTCTCAAACAAGCAGTCCCAGTTCCTTCCCCGCTAAGATAGCAAGTTAGGAACAAATAGTCAGCTGCACATATACTGTACGCAGGATGCTTTGGGAAATGATTTTGCCCGT